ATCGACGATGCTTTTGTAGAGAAAATATCGTGACAAAATATTTTCAACCATCTTGCTTCAATCTTAAAGCACTCGAAAGGTCATGTGACATGACAGAAATATTACTGGATTCCCATTGGTCCATCCTAGAAGCCACTCCCTGGGTGGCTACACAGATGTGCTCTCGTGAAATATGCCGCCGGTATTCGAACTTGAACCTCTCGAATATGTGACGAGTGTACTACCGTTACACCTCGAAGGCAGGCAGAAGATAGCACATTTTTATCACATCTGCACATTTTCAATTTCTGTATGTTCATCAATATCAATATTTCTGTATGTTAGAATTAAAGGTATTTACATCTGCATGAGACTTGCTATGTGAAGTTAATAGCAATAAAATATTGCACTTCATTGCATCCAAAACTACATAATTACTTTTCCTTTCTGTTTTGTTTCTTTTCTGGCAAACAGTCTTACCAAGAGCCGGTTTAAAGGCTCCGCATAACCTGTAATTGTGGGGACTTGCGGTGAATCTGAACAAGTGGGCAAAGGAGTGTTAGAAAGCAGCTATACGAGCAATACTCGTATTTATAAAAGCAACGTTATGTATTATTGGAGAATTCCATATCGGTGGATTTAGAAAAGCTAAAGGAAACATAGAATTGATTAGATCCTTAATAAGTGTTATTCTGCTCAAAAAAACCGGATACATGACAGATAGAACTACGAAAATGGGAAGTTTTTACTTCCTTGTACGAAGTAAAGGAACTACTGTAATCGCGATATTTTTCGGGTGTCATATTTCAACGGAAATATCCATTTTGACCGCTCTAGAAAACCATTTGAACAAAATTTTTGCGTAAAATCTGTACGTACGGAGAGAATAAAAGACTGATTTTGCCAGAAAGGATTGTAAAGTGCATTTAAAATAGATTCAGAATTGTTTTTTTCCCCTTGATGTCTCTACCCTACGTACGTAAATATGTATATATCTCGTTTAACACAAGAACAAGTAGCCGCTGAACGCGGAAATTTTGTATATAGGACTGCTATAACATGTAGTTGTGCAACTCCCTTTTTCATTTCAATTGGCTGCACCAATCTTATATAAATTTATTTATATATGTTCCCATTGTTACCTGACTCAGTGAGCTTAGTTTTTTATTCTTATACATTGGTTAAGTGAGCATTTTGTACTTTAAAAGTGACTGAATTACGTGGTTTTTATGGTTTTAGTAATCTAAATGCAATAATTGTAGAATTAGCAACAATTTAAAAGTGGAGAGTTAAGCCTAACGAACTGCCATTTGTTTACGTTTGAAATTCAGTAGGATAGTGAATTAAGTGAGTTTCTGCACCTTCAATAAGATTAAATGAAATGCAGCAAAAAATGTGCATAATTTAATATGCCGTACAAGGAAGTCATGTCGTAACTACATCATTTTTTTAAAAATAAAAGTGGAGAGAAGCCTATTTCAGTAGAAAAATTATGCATTTATAAATTTCTTCCCGGTTGATATAGATTACGGTTATGAATTAGACAAAAAAAGTGAAGCAGTTAAGTCACTGCTGTGAAGGGTTCCAAGTTATTTCTAGCCTTAAAAATTTGGCAATCAAAATAAGGCCTTCAGAGAAAAGCTAGATGCTTGGGTTTTCGTGTTTTTAAGTGCATTTAGAATATCAGCTAATGTTTTTTAGATAATACTGACACAAAAATATTCCTCCTTTAAAAACAGACATCTGTCTCGTGTTTGCTTTTAATCAATTAAATAACACCAAGAACTCAATAACAATTACAAGTTTGCATATACTGTTAGTACTTAGACAAGAACTAAGAAGACACGAATGTATCATTAGAATTACTATCCCTTATGTTGCAACAAGGTCGTAACAACTGTCTAACAGCTACGCAGTACGTAACAACTGTCTAACAGCTACGCTAGTCAGTATAGTTATAAAATGAATCCCAAAAGCATTTTCCTTGGTACCCGTTACTGGCACTACGAGTCTATTTGTGCTTAGTAGTATCTAAAACCCAGCAAGAAGCGGCTTTTCGAGAAACGTTTTTTGCGTCTCAATGAGTATAAACGTCTCAATGAGTGAAGAAGGATTAAGAAGTCTTTTCATAACAGCAATAAAAAAGCAGATTGGGCACTGAGTTAGTTAAGATATCTGCTCTTCGAAAAGTAGGGGAGAAAGAAAAAGGTTTAAAGAGGAATTCAAAAAAGTGACCAAAGTAAAAAGAGCTTCGGAAAGTAAAGCAAAACTTGTTAATATTAAAAGTTATATGTGAATAAATTTAATATATTTGTTGTGAATAGATAAATTCATTCTGTTTTATGAGTATTTCTTGTGTAGACAGTATAAGAGCATTTGTTAAATGTGAAATTTAACACACTAAATGCAAATTAGTGAATGAGGAATGCAAATTAGTAAAGTTCAGTTCTGCATTGGCTATTATTATAGAATATCTTTTTCATATAGACTGCAATAAAAGGGGCTGACTTCTATTTACATATATAACTGGTGTAAATATTGTTCTCATATGCATAGTGTTATGTAAAGATAGCATTTGGGCTCCGATGTGTATCACATATTTCTTTAGTCTTATTTATCATTTATTAAGTAATATTTCGCATGAATATTTTTTCGGAGTATCCAACACGTGTTTGTATTAATTTTAAATTCTTTCAATCAGGTAGTGAAATCTTCATAATGGATTATATTTGACCTAACTTCACAATGAAAACTTTCAGAAGAAATAGACGATGTACAGAAATTTGTATAGAAAATTGCGTGGCAAAATATTTTCATCCATCTTGCTTAAAGCGTGCGAAAGGTCATGTGACATGACAGAAATATTACTGAACGTTCATTGGTCCATCCTAGAAGCCACTCCCTCGGTGGCTACACAGATGTGCACTTGTGAAATATGCATGCGGGGACTGTCACTGGATAGACAGAAGCGAGAATCATCTGAGAACACGACGTTTCGCCATTCTGTCATCCACATCGCTCCAGTCCGGCACCATTCTAAACGCTGGGTTCTATGCTGTGGGGTCAATGGCAGTCTTCTTAATGAACACCGTGAGTGCAGGCCACGTTCAACCAATCGACGGGAATGGTTCTGGTCGACATCCAGGGTATCTTGCACATGCTGCAGAATCGCGGTACAAGTGACTTGCGGGAACGCCACAGCTTGTCGGCAGATGCGTCGATCCACGCGTGCTGACATCACTCTGGCTGCACCTGCACCCCTCCTTCTTCCCACATTTCCTTGTTCCAACCTTGTTCGCCATAGCCGATGGACCGTGCTCGCATCCATGTGTGTATCAGCTGCGATTTGACGTAAGGACCAACCCGCCCTTCTAAGTCCGATCACCATACCCCTCGTAAAATCGTCTATCTGCTGGAAGTGCCTTCGTTGACGGCGGCCTGGCACTCTCTCCTATCACACTTATCCTCCGGGATAAAACTTCTATTATAAGATTTTCACCTTTACATACTTTTTTGGACAGTTCTGTAAAGATAATTAAACATTTTGCACTCTTTTGTGAGGATTTACGCAGCGAAAATATATTGCAATATTATTTCACTCCAAAACCAAAACAAGAATTCTGAAGTTTGAATTGCTCCACAAAGCTCCAAGCCATTATAATGTTAACACAAATCATAAACATCATCATGCGGGGGAAGGATGTAATATCAGCGCAGCCGCAAATTTTGCAATTTATTATTACATCTTTTATTTTGAGATAAAATTCCTGATCTAATTCAAAATCATGCACAAAAAAATATTATCAATTACATAAATACGAGACTGTTATTGACATAAGTTACAAGAAATATGTGTATTGCTTTGAAATCTCTCATTGAGTAAATTAATGTACAATTTCAATTTGATGGATAAATTAGAGATTTTATAGAACATCAAATATCAAGTTTCTTTGAAAACCAACAATCTGCCGTGCCGAGCTGATGATAAATAAAAGTTTTAATGCTTCATAGAATGGGAACATGAATCAGACCATACGGATGATAAATATTCTTTTAGCCTACTATAGTGTAAGGTGACTCAAACATACCAAAAATAATAAGTTTCTGATGTCAAAATGATTCAATTATTACGTTGAAATAACTCAATATATAAGGCATTAAATATCATGCAAGGGGGATAAATAGCTCTAAGGTAAACCAAACCAAAAAAAAATGAACTGAATTTTATGGTTTAAGTGCGAAGAACATGGTATTTAATAAATAAAGGTAACACACAAAATGTTACAAAAATGCCCCTTTGGACGTAATTTAAAATCTGAAACCTTTCAGATTTTATTATTTTTTAAAATATATTTTCATTAATGAGCTCTATCTAATTGAAATGTTAAGCTGTAAACTAAAGCTTTCAGATTGAAATTTTTAACACCTCCAATAAGATACGATATATTTCGTTACAAGAGTTTCATATCCTGGCAAATTAGAAAGTGTTGTCACTTCAGATGAGAAAAATAATCTTATATTTAATATTTTATAATTTTAACGCAGTTGTAATTTAAATTCAGTGCAAACGCTCACAGTTACAACAACACAGATATTTGTTACAGACGTATTTATATTCTAACACAAAATGCTAAATTTAATGCCTTTCTTGTCATGACAATGGCAGGAATTCATCTGGCAAATTTTTTAATTGGCTCAGTTGCATATTAAAGCAAGGGAACTTGTTTAGAATTCTTTTTTTTTTTCTTACCAGTTTTCTATACATTGGTCTTTAAATTTGCAGAACTGGGCCGGACATCTGAAATTCACTAACGGTAGTACAGGTACCATAGGTAGTACACGTTCATTATAACCATGCAGGGGTGCCGCTGCAATTTTTAAACCTTTTATTCTCCCAAATAGTACCGTATACGTTAAAAATAAATTCCAAAAAATATATTTATACAAATGTCTCCTAGATGGCAGCAGAACTCAGAATGAGTCAAACTGTTTTTCCAGCTGCTTGTGTTTGTGGTGCCATCTAGTTTCATACAAAAAAAACTATTTCACTGTTCTGTATTTTCTTGGTAAATTTAAGAAACTGCTATTCTTCGTTGCCATGATAACAAAGAAATGAAATATAGCTCAAATTAATTCAATCGGTCATTTGTAATCGATACTGTATCAAACGCCACCATGAATGACAACGGAATTCGTCCATCTTCCAAAAAAGTTGGTATAACGAAACGGAAAGAGATTGCTTTGATTCAAAAGTTGTTGCCAAAAACGCATTGTAAGCACTTTCTTCTTTAATACTCTTAACTATAATTCTATCCCTGTGGTCATGAATTATATTTACCTTATGTTTGAAATAGTATTTTTCAAATAGTCTTTCTAAAAATACTCAAATTATGTGTCTTTGAATTTGATTAAAACTTTAAAAAACATTACTTCTACGAATGCTTTAAATCTAAACTAAAAGAACTTAATTTGCCAGTCACGTAATTAAACTAACTAAAACAATTAGTTTTGCTTAAGTTATTGATATGGAGTCTATATTTTAATATCTAAATTTTAAAGATGTAAATGACTTTATTCTCTCAGCTATTTTTCGTTACGTACACATTTACTAATTTAAAAATTTGGTGCCACACAAGCAATAAGATTTATTTATCTTACTTTTAGTGTGCCGCCTAATTTAGTAAAAGAATTTTATTTGATTAATTGATCGATGTACCTATAATGTATTTTGCAAAAATAGTACACGATAATAATTGTCCATGAAATATGAAATAAAACTGGATTTCAAAGTAAACAAAATGTATATTTAATGATAAATTACGAATTACATTTAATGCAAAATATAGGATTTTTTTTATGATGATAATGTTACTTTTATTTCGTGATCCAGATTTAAAAGCCTGGGTTGTTTTTCAATTTTTATATAGCTCAATTCTCGAAATTCATTTTTCGTACAAATAAAATGCGTAAAATTAACTAACACACTTAAAGCCTTTTGTGATATTGACCAGTAACGAATCAAGTCAGGAATGAATTAATTGATTTTTCTGAAAGTTTTGAAATTAAATCTCGGTTATTATTCATCGAAATTAATTTTTCCTCTTCTTTCAAAGTCAATCGAAACACCGACGCGCCTCACAAATGGATTTCGTACTCAATCAAGATTTTTAAGTTTGAAAAGCAATAAACAATTCTTTGCTCTACTATTGTCAAATGATAATTAGCTATTTCAATGACTTATTTTATAATAGTATTTTCAAACAGATTCAAACATTTCTAAACTACGTTCTTGTGCTTTATTCTTTTATAAAGTACTTTTTTTTTTTTAATCCCAACAATTTATTGGGTGAAATTAAAATAGTTTCTTTCGGTCTTAGCATACTTGTATTTTATGTTATTAACATATCAGATATGTAGGTTAACTTAGCACATCATCAAACAAATCAACAAAATCACTATTACCTTCTTACAAAAATATATTTATTTCGTTTTTTAATTCAAGCACACAAGCTAGATCTTTCTGTGTTACCACCTAACTTCCATTTGCAAAAACAAGGATTGATATTTAAATTCCATAGCCTGGCATAACTGACTAAAATGGTGACCTTTTTAACGGTCTTCATTTTATATAATTAATCATTTTAACACATTGTTCCAGCACTATTTTAAATTCTGATGGTAATTGTTTTGTAATGAGTGAGTGTTATCCGACGCAAAAAACCATGAGTTACTAATATATCTGCATCATGTTACCTTTTACATGCACTTTAAATCCTTTAATGTACTTAGTCATTGCCAAAGTACCGTTTGTGCAAACGCCAATGCACAAATTTCACGAAATTTTAATTTTTTATAAATACCAATTAATTTAATCGAAAACATGCTTTCTTGTTTTTGAAGTCAGATAATTCACGACAACGTACGAATTGATTAATTACATCATTTCCGTGAATAAATCGAACGAATACAGTTAAACGAATGTAGTTGGTGCTTTTCCTGTAATATCAATTTATTTCGTCAATTTTTGGAGCAAAATTTGAATTTGCTAGAATTTTAGCAGGATTGTCTTCAGTATTTCGAGACAAGTCCACAATTCCGCGATGAAGTGAGTCATTTCAAAGTGTTACTTTACAAATATCAAAATCTGCTGATTCACCGATTTTTTTTTTTTAAACAATTTTAGACCAAGCAGATAATATAATGTATTCAGCCAAATTATGAGGTTTTAATTTAAAAGCAATTAATTCCGCCATTAAAGAAGATATCTGAACTTTTCCAGGCATACCAAATGGCTTTCCAAAAACCTTTATTTGTTTGGATCTTTCAGGTACTAATTTTTTAAAGGCAGTAGCTTTTGTTTATAAGGTATCGCCTTCTAGCATGCCTTCGTGGTGTAATGGTTAACACACTCGGTGCGTATCGAGAGATCCAGGTTCGAGTCCCGGTGAGCGCGCTGTATATTTCACATCCCCTGCTTCAAAAGCAACCTAATGTCTCTACAGTGGGGCCCGAACTAAAAGGGTAGTGAATGATGATTCTTCACCACCAGGATTTGGCGATAGGGTCCACTAATCACCAGTCGCCCTTTAAAAGGGGGAGTATATAAGGTACTTTCTCCCTCCTTTCTGCATGCCTTCGGAGTGTAACGATAGCACATTCGGTGCATTTTCGAGAGGTTTAGGTTCGAGTCCCCACGAGGGCATTACTCATTTTTCGTGTTGCCTACTTCAAAAATCCTAATGACTCTACAGTAATGCCCACACTAAAAATTGTGGTGGAGGCTGATTCTTCGCCACCAGGATTTGGCGATTAGGTCCCGTAATCCCCCTCCCCCTTTTGTATTTCTCCCGCCTTCTAGTATGCTTTCGGGGTGTAATGGTTAGCACACTCGGCGCATATTCGAGAGGTCCAAGTTCAAGTCCCGGCGAAGGCATTGCATATTTTTCATGTCTTCTGCTTCAAAACAACCTAATGATTGTACATGTCTTTTGATGCAATCGAAGGATGATTAGTGAGAAAGTAATGTCGGTGCTTTCTCGGAATCATTGCACTTTTGACAGTTTGAATCACATACCACACACTCGGGAACAGTTTGATACTTTTTCATTGTAGATTCAAATCTAAAGTTTAAGACATCGTCATTATACTCGCAATGAACATTATATTTTTTGGGGCAGGAAACATCTTTACTTGCATTTCTATCAAGCTCATAAGCCTGATCGCTAACATCACCATTACACAAGCCTGCAAAATTTGGATTGTGTCATGTTTTTTTAACTTTTGTTAATTGATTCCTATGTATTTTATAGCGCTGAATACGAAAATAACGTTCATTCTCCCCCATCATGGTAGGGTTTCGGAAATTGCAACTTCAAAAATTTGTAAAAAGTCGAAAAATTGCGAAAATGTAAAATTTAAAAATAGGTTTAAAACTTTTCGTTATGATTTATTTATATTTTTAGCTTGTACTAAGACCGTGGTCTTAAAATGCACAATTTTATTTCCAGTTTTAATGGAGCAGGTTTTGGGCAGTCTTTCTTTATTCAATGATTTTCTCCACCTTTGCCATTCACATAAAAATCAAGGAAACTTTATGTACCCTCCTTGCTGTCCTTGGAGCATCGATATTATTTTGGAATCGCAACACGTAACCCTCTTATCGTCGTCGAATTTATTTTTATCGAGAATGAATTCCAAATCTTCGTAACTCGCTTTTACATGGACAGAATGTCTGACGGGTATTGATGCATATGTTTCGTAAAGAAAGGCAACTTTAAGGCTTCTTTTAGACGAATCTATTCTCGTTAGAATACAGTAGTTTAAGTTTCACTAGAAAGTTTAGAATTAGACCAACTTTCATAAGAAAACAAAAGCCCATCAATGGACCCCCCCCCTATAAGAACCTTCAATAAGAATGCTTAGTGCAAGCTAAAAAAAGAATGCTTTATAAGCAAGAACATTGCCATGTGTCATATTTTCCCAATGTTGCTAGGTTTAAACAATCTTGAAAGTAACAATTTGCCAGAATTCCTTTTCTGATGGTAAAGAGTAAAGATCGGATTCAGCGCTAAAACTACATAAGAATCAACTTTCGAAAGTTAAAAGACTCAACCTATGTAGGCTCCGTTATCGTCATTATACTTGCTTTTTTTAATCCATTTGTTCATTTTAGGAGGTTCTTTTCAAATGAAAGTAATTTTGACACAAACTTGTTAAAAAAAACATATTGTATATTACCTTTGAGCCACTTTTAATTACTTTTGACAACATAGTATTGTGGTATTGCACATGCGAAAGCGAATAACGATGTCATATCTTAAAATGTACATCCTAAGAACACATTTGCGACACATACACTTTTGCACGTCGTGTAAAATGTATTTTTATAGCACATACTGAAAATGTTTACAAAATGCCAGTATTGTACGTTGCAACGCACGTGCTAAAATCGCGGTTGTAACGCGCACTATTTTAGCATACCACATAAAACGAACGGACCATTATAGCTCGAGCTGGGTACTTTCCCAAGCGTACCAGTGTTGTACGAAATGTAGGGCCTAAGAACAACGCACCACTACAGTCCTTCGTGTAGAAAGGCATGATCGTTTCTTGGAATCTGCTGATCTTCATCCGATATCTCTCTAAATTTATCCAGGCTTTTTCAAGAAAGTTTTTTTTCTAGAGTTCACTCTTTGCAACATTTGTACCTCAATGCCAATTCGATTTTGATCTCAATTCCTAAGGCAAGCTAATTACAACTTCACATTTATTTATCAGTTTTTTAATGTAATTTATCCTAATATATTTAGCATGGTATTTAGACAGCCTAAGCAACATAAAATCATTTAGGTGTAGACAAGTTTTAAAATTTTTCGAAACAAAGAAACTGAAGAAATTAGTAGTGCTGGCTAATCTTTGGAATATGGTAACAGGTAGTTTGGCGACATTTTGGTAAGGCGATAAAGGTTACTAGCTAGGACTTTAGCAGTGTACATGGATAAAGTCAAGAGTGGTGCGCAATGCCATTTTTGTGCAATTCTGGGATGTTTTTTTAAGTGAAAGTAGGTCGACGTGTACATGGATAACGTGTATGAGCAATTTTTAAAAACGCGGCAAGCAGTGGGCGATTCTGCTCTTTCTCCCAATTTCGTACCTAATCTTCGTCATGATTAAGCACTTTTGTTCCATAAAATTTCTAACATAAGCGTAATTCGGCTAGCAGATTGTTGGAAAAAAATGTTGAGTTAAAAAAAAAAAAAAAAAAAAAGCCTTTACTTCGTGAAAACAAAATGGCGTCCCAAAAAAAAAAAAAAAAAAAAAAAAAAAAAAAAAAAAAAAAAAAAAAAAAACTAGCAGACTGCTGTAGCAGGGTTAGTCGCCAAAATTTCGCCAAAAGATTAACCGTAGTGCTTTCGCCGGGATTCGAACTCTGGAAACTCTCAAACACGCGTCAAGCGTGTTTCCAGTTACAAAACAAAAGCATGCGGAAGGGAGGGAGAAAAGATACCTTATATATTACTGGAATAATATACGAAATTTTATCATTAAATATCTAAAAGTTTGCTATGCCGCAATATAGTTTCAGTCACTCTATTTAATCAGTCTGTTATTATAAAGCAAACAGAGTGGTTTAAAAGTAATAAACACGAATTTTAATAATTTAAATCTTTACGCTTTTGGCATATATATATCTAATTTATATAATTTAAAATGCACTTAATGCACTGATAGTTTTTATTAAGAGTATACTTAACATTATAATAACTAGCAAAAGATGTTTTTAATTTCATATGTTATATATCTAAGTACAGAAAGTTTTTTTTTACATGTTTTGAAAAACATTTTGCAATGCCGTTTGAATTTTTTTTTCTTTTTCCAGTCAATGAAAAGCAACTGAAGTATCTTTTCAAATTTTACTCATGCCTCGTTGGGGAGAAAAAGTCTTTGGAAAAAATTGACTTCCTGGAAATGCTGCACGAGACGTTCGGCTATGTGCAACACTTTTTCATGAATAGAGGTTTGCACTTTTTTAATTTTCGATGTTCCTTGCAAAGCAATTTCTAATGTTTTAATAAAAAATCTGTTATTACGTAAGCTTTATAACTATATTCTTCATACATTATATTCTATTTAATTATAGTATTTTATCTATAAGCTTCATCGTTATGTATTGGGAAAAAGTCTATTGCTATTACTATTTACTAGTGAAAAGCCACTGTTTATAAAGTATTTTATTTTTTGAAAAGCAATTTATTAGCCTAACATTCAAAATAACTGTAATAGAGCAAAATCGAAGAAATATTACCTATTAGGTTTGAGTTGCTTATTTCCTATAATTTTAAGCAGAAAAAAGAATGGATTATTTTGATCTTTTGACGTTGCAGCTTAAAAAGAAAATATCGTTAATTTGTTTATGGGCTTTTAGTAATATCTGAAACTTTTATTTTCAGTTAGTATGACAAAATAAAACACTATTATCCCTTTGACGCGCGGTGGTCGTGCCCTGAAACCATGAGTTTTCGAATTTTTTCTCCTTTTCTTTCCGAAATTTTTAAGTGAAAAATCGATTGGTTAATGATCTTTTACCTCTAATTAACACTAAATGACAGCAGAATCATATATTTTTTAGGTCTTAGTGCTTCAAATCGGATGCCTTTTAAAATTCGTTTTCAATGAGACAAAATATCTTCCTTTTATTAATATAAAAATCTTTAAATTTCAAAAGTTATTCATCGCACATCATGATTTCTATCATAAACAATAAAAAATTGCAGTAATTAAGCAATAATTAAATGTATATGCAGATATATGTAATAATAAACCCTCTATATGTATGGCATTTGCTTTGTGGCTTCAGGGCGCGACCACTGCCCCACTAGAGCATTGTGTCACAATGCTCTAGAGACTCGGTGGTTGCGCGTTGAAACCAATGTTCTTCACAATGGCGTTTGCTTGCTTTAACGCCATTGTGAAGAGCAGTGGGTTGAAGGCAGTGGTTCAAAACCCCTTATCTATATCCCAGTAAAAATAAACAGTTAGGAATGTTTATTTTTACCCAGGTATAGATAAGGGGTTTTGAAACCACAGAGTTATTTTATTATTAAACAATACATGCACCTGCCCAGTAAAGTGGTCTTTCTTTTCCAGAGACTTTGACCTCAACACACTTGCCCTTGCTATTGTGATCTTATAAATTATTCCCGTGGTTTAAATTTAATGTAAATATACTTTGCTATAATTAAAAATAGAAATCGCTTAAGTTTTATTTAAATTAAAAATATTTTCTGAATATTTTGGGACGAAATACGATTAAAATAAGTATGAATGGGAAACGAATGATCCCTACCAAAGCCAAAAAGACCAAGACCCCCCCCCCATTAACATAAAAAAAAAATTCATGTGCCAGATGAAAGGAAACTAAATAACGCTGGAACCAGTGAAATTTAGATCCAGGCAGTGTACATTTTGTAGCACAAGGAAGAAACCTCATAGAAGATACATGTGCAAAACGTGCAATGCGGGTCTATGCATGTACCAAAAAGACAAAACATGCTTTTTGAACAGTATCACAAAAAAAAAAAATTGTTCTTTGAAATTTAAAAAAAAAAAAAAAAAAAAAAAAAAAAAAAAAAAAAAAAAAAAAAAAAAACCTTTGAAATTTAAAAAAAAAATTGTTCTTTGAAATTAAAAAAAAAAAACTGAAATTTAAAAAGAAAAATTGTTCTTTGAAATTTAAAAAAAAAAAAAAAACACTGAGTCTTTTTTTTTTATCCTTATTTTACTGAGTTTTTTTTATTCATTTAGCCAAACGTCCTTATTATGTAGGTACTTATATTTCCACTGCTATAGAAAAATTACATAAATGCTTATTTTTTAATTTTTTCTGACGATTTACTTTGTAAAATAATGTAAAAATGTTACATATAATGCAATTCTTACATACATATTTTTTAAATTCGTAAATTTCGTCATTTATTGTAAACGCGCACGGAGAAAGGTAAGTTTTTTTTCCTACTACCTCAGTAAGTTTCAAAATCCTAGACGCGCGGTGGTTTCACAATGCGCCTACCATCCACAGAACAATGGGCAATGAGTAGATTTTTTAAAATTCATATATTGTCTCTACGATCATAATATTCAATTTCTAGAGTTTTAAGTTAAAAAAAATTATAAAAATAATATCGCGCGCGTCAAAGGCCTATGCTTGAAATTTGACGAACGAAATCAACGGAAAGCGTCTATAAGCAGACCATAACATATATTGTTACTGTGGGAAATATAAGATCTTAATTTATTTTCCATATACTCCTGTAATACAGCCAATTTTCATTACTTGGGTTTGCTATTCAGAAAGCCCAAGTTCTTTAATATCTCTTTGAAATTAATGTGCATGTTATAAATTCACCAGCTGACCGATTTATGGATAGTAAAGGACCCCATAATAACTTAAATCTTTATTTTATTGCTTATAATACTGAATATCAAACTGATATAAATTAAAACTCATTTAATTGATGATGTATCCAGCTGCTAATTTTTATGAACATTATCACCTCTGTTCCAGTCAGTTGCAAAAATGAAACAACAATAAACAGAAACGTAGGGTTTTAAAATATTTCCTTTGGATTACTTATTCACATCTGTGTAACATTTTCGTATAAAATATATTGGCAGATTTTACAGTGATGATACGCCTGTTTGAATTTGAACTGATAAACTGTCCAAAAAAAAAATGAATGGGAGCTGCAATGTCAATAACAATTTTCTCATTTCCAAGAGAAAATATTACTGGTGGGGATTAAGTACCATATCTGACATTCAACGTCAATACAAATTAATATGTTTTCTGACTTTCTGGTTGCCACTGATTAAAAACTGTATACTTAGATTGGAGTATAGTTGACATGCAACACTAATCTGATTTTACAAATATATTTATTCAGTGTTTCTCTTTGCTGATACCAATAAGGACGGACGAATTGATATCGAAGAATTTGTCCATTTCCTGTCCATCGTTCTGTGTGGCACCAGAGAAGAGAAAATACGTTGTAAGTGCCATTTTCTTTCGTAGTTATGTGTACATTAAGCGTTTATATATCATTTTAAGTATAAATTATTTTGGCGCTAGTCTTGGAATTTCAGAAATAATGGTGATATAAATGTTTCGAAATACATATATAATGATGAATGTTAACGTTATTTTCTATACACGGTTATTGAAGATGATTCAGCAGGTTTCAGATATTTGACTTTCATATGTGTTGAAAATGAAGAATGAGTACCGCAAGCAATGAATTGAAAATTTTTATAATTTAGTTTCAGTACAATGAATGTTCCTGGTGTGATTCACTTGTTACTCGACACAAATTTTAGCGATATCGCAATTTTGTTTACATTTTCCCATTAAAAATGACGAAAGTATTTGGGACGAGTAAAAATATTTCTTTCCTGAGAATTCATGGGAAGGTGATTTTAATGCAAAAACAAAGGTTTAATTTATCAAGTTTTACCAGAGAAAATATTTATTTTTAAAGACGATGTTTCTACCTTTGTTAAAAAGGGTATAAACATAATCATAGTATTATTTGAAACAAGAAACAGATCAGAAGTGATTCTTATATGTAAAATAATACAGAAAACTGAGATGCTTCAAGCTAGGGAAGAAGTTTTTCTCCGGCTGCTATATAAACTGTAATATAGCAAATAATTTTACTGATCATGATGACATTACCTTGCTGAAGGAAATCCGGGTTAACAGTTCTTCATTTATGATGTAAGGTATATTTTAATTTTATAACAATTATTTTAATTTCAAAGTTCCTTTCAATTCTTGTATCCACTTACAACTCCCAGAATAAGTTTTTAGAATTGCATTGAATTCAAATGTGTTAGAGTAAGTATTTAAAGAAGGTTCAACTTATTTCGATAATGAGTTCTAGGAATCCTTAGTAGCGTGTGTTTGCCTCCAGGCTAAATCACTCTTGAAGCTGTTAGCCGGCGAATATCATGAAAGGGCCGACTACATTAGATACTTGCGTTTAGCTTCAACTAAGCCTCTTCTAGTTAGTTATAGTTTAGATTCTTATTTCTGAGTTAAAGCCCGCGTAAAGGCTTCCTGTAAGTCCGAGAGGGGAACGACTATTATTCTTATTTGAATGAAATAAAAGGTATTTTAACCCTTCTCGAGTCTACGTTGTAGTTGTTTGAACTCAGCGATAAGCCGCTACTGAGTCCACTTAGATTCCTCGACGTTCATCTTAGACAAAACGAGTGAGTAATCCTACATTGCAGCTCCATGGACTATCTACTGTGTCTGATACTAAGTTTAATAATTAATAATTATAAGAAGGCTTACCTTGAATTTACGCTGAATTATAGATTTATAAGCTAGCTGTAAACACTTTGAAACAAATAAATAAGATTTAGAATTTTATATGTTTTATTAGAATTTTTTACATGTTAACATTTTCATGAAATACTGAATTCTTGCCTCTTTGGTTTTTTTATATCTGTTGCCGCAAAAAAAAATTAAAAAGGCACATACAAAAAAAATCTAGCGCGAGGACAACCCTGGCTATAAATAAGGATAAAATAAGGCATAAAACGCCTTTGAAACTTAACACACTGTTTTAAAAGAAAATACACATTGATGTATGTGAAAGGGTATTGAAAGAATGTAATATCCCTATGTGTTTCCGGCAATATATTACCTCAGAGAATTAATACATTGCCTTATGCATTAGCATTAGTTAATCAGAGAGCTAGCAGCTGTTAGCTCAGAGAAACCTCTTCTTATAAACAGTTTTTATCTCGTTTCGATTCCTGCAGTGTTCGTTAAAAACAAAGCTGTTGAAAGATAAGTAATGAACCTGAATAATATCCATCCCAGTACAAATGTAGCCTTAATTTAAGGATTTCATCGGAGGAATTCTAGCTGCCGAATTTTAATGTAAAAGTGATTAAAGCTTTCATGGAAGAAATATTCAATGGTAACTTATCGAAGAGGTGTTGAACACGAGTGTCGCAGGGCAATACAGCAAAAATTCTGCATAAGGTATTCCAAGACTTAAATTAAAAAATAGCTATTTTATATAAATTTTAATTTCGTACCTGTCAATACGGTTGCTTTCGGGTTTTTATCTATTGAACCTCAGCAATCCGAGATAAGCGTTGCCTGTAATTCGTCTTTCTTGGCAATAATACCACATCTAGCAGAAAACCTCAATACAGTATTTCAGGAAGACATGTCTTTGCATGCTCTTTTAGCTCTTCAAAATGTGGTCTTCAGACCACTTCAGCTTTCAAGTTGTCTCCTTCAAAAGTATTAAAGTAAAATTATCTTTGAGTGTTAGAATGGTGTGTGAAATTTTCAAATTAATACCATCCCCTCTAAAATCAAGTAATATATATAGTTTTGATACAAGAAGCTTTTCGCCATTAGCTTTTATGGAATTGCGTGTTTACCGACGCATAATTATGAAGCAAATTTAGTTTCAAGTTCTGAAAACAAATGAAAAAGATTGAACGTAATATAAATGAAATTCCGTTTCTTAATGTATTTCGCGTATACGGAAGCCTGATTTTACGAAAACTCTTTTAGCGGTCGATACAAGAATGTAAAATCATGAGTATATTATATTAAATTTTTAATCCATAATGGCGTTTAAAAAGGCCTGCAGCGCATTGAAAGACCAAAAAGATTATGTATTAATTACAAAACGACGTTAAAAGCATTTTTATTTTAAAATACAGCAAGTGTTTTTGAAAATATAATTTGAAGATACATAAATTAACTGTTTTTGAAATTATATCATTAAATAAAATAAAATTTGAGGATGCTGATGACCGTCAGGGCTGTCGGTCACTAGTGTGACATTGGGAAGTAATCTGAGATAATTATTTTAAGTTCTGGAAATAATCTAGTATGAATTAAAAGCTGTCTTTTTTTCTCTTTGGTTTTACGTCGCAAATATTCGCGCTAATCAGATTATGTAAAAATATAACACGCGCAAGTGATTTTAAATGCTGTCAAAATTAAGTGGAACAATGAAACTTTGTGAGGAAAGATTCGGTACTTATGTATTATCCCAATCACCGTATTAGGAATTGCCAAAGCTTTAAAAGGGGCCAAAGTCTAGCACCTAAGTGTGTAACTATTTTTCAGGCAACTGTGCGCATTACCGATTCTACAATTATAGCCAGTGTCACCATTTTCGTATGGCCCGAATCAATGGTGTCAAATATTTCTCTCATAGTCACGCGTTGTCTGTTTTTAAATGCTTTTTGTTATCTTTAAAACAGCGCATCTAGAACAAAAGAGGAAAATGTCTGTGTCTGTCTGAGAAAAATATTACAGGGTCCACGAGAAATTGCGAAGAAGTTTCAATGATCTGTGTGTAATAAAGAAACGCGTTTACAGAAGGATTTTACGAGAAATGAGTTTTTAATTTTTTTGACATTTCATATACTCCTCATTTAATAGTTAAATTTTCTATTTCAAATTGCTGAAGCATGCTTTCTTTTTATGTGTTGATAACGTCTCCAGTTTATGACAAATAGCAAAGGTTTGACAAAATGTCGCCCTAACCAAAGAATATGTATTGTTAAGAAAGAAAACTTCTCCGCAATAGGCGTAGGGTCCGTCCCAACGCAGAGGGAAACAGTTGCGCTCCGAATATGTGTTGCCAGAGCTCGAAGCTGGCGTTAAGTTCGCGTTTATCAAGAGTTCATAAAACTAATATCGTTTTAAATTTCGGTAAAATTTAAACAGAAAAAAAAAATATTTTTTCGCCCAAGTGAATTAATTAATGGATTAGTTATTTTGAGCAAAAACAGTATGAAAATCCGAGTTTAAATTACCGCGAAATGTCAAAGCAGAAACGTTTTGTCAAAGAACGTTGCTTCTTAACACGTGCTGCTCAATTTCCTGTACACATTTGCAGAGGGGGAAATTCTCGCCACCAGGTTCCGTCGCCAAATCCCTTGGTGAATTTTCCTGCCGCTGTCCGCAGCGGCGTAATAGCAAACTGGTTTACATTACGTCTATGGAACCTTATCAGGACTTGTGTTCCTCTTGACTTGCTTTGGAAACATGAACTGTCCTGACTCGGAACAGGGAGCTTACTCAAGCTATGTTCAATAAATTGTGAAGTAGACAATACACACAGGAAGGGTATACGAAACCCTTTATTTTTTCTATCTTTACAGATCTTTCCGGAACTTCGGAATACAGAGACCAACCACTTGTGGTCTGAACGTAAGAATATAAAACTACTAACTAAAACCCTAACTAAAACTTTGAATTAGTATACAAGTGCCTAGCATTAAGATTGGCCGTTATTTAACAAAAGTCCGTATGTAGTACGCCGAGCTGCTAAAACTACGATACGTTTGAAATTATCAAGAGGACTAAACCTCTGGCCTTGAAGGCAACCAGCAACCGAGTGAAAACTCGTAAAACTACTATTGCAAGCGGCTTGCTTCCAATAACTCCTTCCTCTATCTTGCTTGGCAAAAAACCACAACTTAAGTACTTGGCGTTAGCAAGACAAAATTTGCATAAATAAGTTAAAGCTTTTAATTCTGGCCGGAAGTAGAAAATAAGAAGTGATAGTAAAGATTTAAAATAAAATAAACGTTAGTAAAACTTAGGATCCTTACAACCTTTCCTTCTTTATATAGACGTTCTTTGCCCCAACTTAAAAGATAAGCATCTTTTATAAGTTACCAAACTGCCTAATGTGGTTGCGCTATTACGTAAGTACTAAATTTGCAGCTGTAATTGCTGTTGTTCGTATCCAGCTTGTTGTCCTTGGAAAAGGGAGCTGGTGTGGTGTTGGAGTATTGCATTGCGTCCCCTGTGATCTTAGTTGGTAAATGAACTTCTTCTGCAGTTGATTAGATCAGGATTCATCCAGGTCTCTTATTTAAACACTGATAACTTTTGATCACTGAACATAATACAAAGCTGTAAACGTTAAGTGTCAAAGGTTATGCTATACATTTTCCCTTTAGAAGTGGGATTAGTCTCTTTGGTTTTGATATGTGCTCCAATAAACGTCATTTTTTATAATCGCTGAAACATGTACGTTGCAATTTATTCAGCGCAACAGTCAAGGTTGTAATCTTTAACCAAATGAAAAGACGTCAAGTGGCAGACCCACAGGAAAAGTAAAGCACAGAGTTACTATAGTATTATCTAGAAATACGTTTATTTCTGTTAAATATTTCGGTTTATTAGTAGTTACAGACTGGTTCACTTTGAGAAATTATCGTACTTGCCAGCGTATAAGACGCATTTTTTTTTAATAGGTCTCAAAAACAGGGTTCTTCTTATACGTCGATACTCAGTTTTTGATTACATTCATTTCTGGAAATTTCCTTTATTCGGAGTTATGCGATTTTTTCTTGTTCCCTTGCGGAGTGTGGCAATATTACAGTTGCGTAGAACTCAGTGAATGCGCATGCGCTGTCATCAATGATTACAGCTGGGTTCGTTTAAACTTTCCAATTTTTGTGAACGTGTGTGAAATTTCTACTGTTCAGTATTCGTAAATTTGGTGGCCAGTTATGGCTCAAAAACAACATCGGCATTGCTATAACATAGCATATAAGCTACGTGTGATTGCATATGCTAAACAACAGGGAAAGAGGGCTGCAAAGAGGCATTTCGGACCACCCCCCCCAATTGAGAAAATGAGCAGGATTATAATGATCAGTAATAATGTTTTATTCTTCAAAAATGTGTACAAAAAAGGAGATGCGTCTTATACACCGACAAATACGGTATATATTGAATTAAAATTCAAAAATAAAAAATATCAGCTTGATACTGAGTAAAGAAGCAGACTTCAAGGATAAAATAAAATTATCTAAAAAAACGGTTTTAGATGCTCAGTTACGGTTAAAAATGCTACAATATTTTTTTCCCCTTCTAGTTTGCTTCGACTGTTACGATCTGAACGAAAATATGCAGCTGAGCCGTGACGTCATCACTACTCTCCTCAATCACACCAGTTCAGAGGTATAATTTTTTTTTACATTCGTGATGTGGTAAATATTTATGTAATTACGTCTACAGTTATAAAAGAATTGACTCGTGTTTTGCTTAATGTTCCGTTAGTAGAGCATTGAGAATCCACGTGGCCTAGCAATTTGCTAGCTTGGACTACTATTACCACGCCGGAAGCTTACGATTTTTAATTTACTTTTCCGCTTGCAATAGCGCAACATTTATCAGTATAAAGGAATAGAAAAGGCATAAGCACTTCTTGCTAAGTTTTCTAACGCCAGATTCTTATTAGTGAATTCTTTCATAAATATTCAAACTGTTACATCACGTTACAGTAGCACACATTTATCTTCATTAAATTAATGAATGACACATCACAAGATTAAAGATATTGAATTAATTATCGTTTGGCCACCTCGAAATTATCCAGTGCTCAAAATTGCTTTCATTCCCAATTCAGAAACATATCTACTTTCTGATTCATAACTGTTAAGTTCTTTAAAGGATTTACTAACAACATCAAAATATGCCCGAAATATTGTACTACATTAGGTTACTTGGAAGCAGGAGACGTGAAAAATGTGCAATGCCTTCGCTGGAACTCGAACCTGGACCTCTCGAATAGGCGCCGAGTGTGCTACCGTTACACCACGAAGGCATGCAGAAAGGAGGGAGAAAATACCTTATAATGCAACATATCTTACAGCTCAATATCTTTATAACTAACTAGTTAATGATCTTGAAATTTTGTTTACTTATTTCGATATTCTTGATAATGAATGTTCTTATTTGTTTTATATTCCGAGTTTAAAATGCTTTGAATAAAATAAAAATAAAGTATCTTCTTTGGCATCGAAATAAAACTGCAATATATACTGCGCGCAGCATTATCGAAAAACAAACAAGCCCCACCCTCCTCCAAAATAAAATCTGAAAGGTTTCAGATTTCCAAAGGGACTTTTTTTTTTAAAGTTTTGTGTGTTACCTTTTTTCATTAAATATCATGTTCTTCGCACTTAAACCATAAATTTCAGTTCAATAGCAATGTCGCAAAATAATTTTAAAATGAGCCTATCTTTAGAATTTCCGATACACATTTCCACGCGCTGGAGATAAAAAAGGTCCCCCCCCCTCCCCGCGGTAGATTGTTGCCATTGCTCGCTTTCAAATCGTCGAGTTTGTTACTCAAAAATTCGTTAATGTTTTACAAAGTATGAAATTGATCATAAAGCCAATTCCAAATTTCAAATTGGGGCTTCCACATGCCCATATTCGCAGTAGGATTACGTCATTCAAAATTCGATGGCTCTGTGTACCGTATTTTTATCACAATGCGAGAAATATACATACATTTATGCAGATTTTTCATTACTTAATTTCTTCAAATATAATACAGTACTCTAACATTTGGTGGCAACAGTTTGAAAAGTGAAACGGGCATTTCTAGTGATTCAACGCAAAATCGCAAAACGAAAACAATAGTTCTTCAGGGACAAAGCCGCTTTGAACTAATTATTATTTTTGGCTGATATTTTTGTATGGATTATTTTAATTTTCTAATAGTTATTTTTAATTTTGAAACTTCTTCCTATAAATTGCTGTTTTCTACCTTCAACTTCCTGCCAGAATGAGATATCAGTATCGCGTTTTACGTAAATGAAGTAGAACCGGTATTTAATGGGATGTTCAAGCACTTCCGTCGAAGAATTTAGAAGTTATCAGTAGGCCGTGTTCTACCTTCGGCCCACGTCGTTGCTTTAAGCCTATCTTACTATGTTCGGCCGTAGACTTACGTGCCTGTTAGTATTCGCCGGTAAAGTTTAATTACGGGCCAATTTTGTTAGTTATTTTTGTACAGCTTCGGAGAAAGTTTATCTAGTTAGAATTAGTTTAGTTCCTTACTTTCTATCTTAAGTTAAATGTTCTCATAAATTCTGATTACTTTTGCATATATCGTGTTCTAAGGAAAGTAGTTCCGACAAAAACGTTCATTGGAACATATAACTCTAATTTATTTTTATAAAGAATTTCGAAATGTAAAGTCGTAAATTGAGTGAAGACAATATTGAAGTTTATTAACATTTTCAGAAATACTAATGATCATCAAAGATAATTCTCTAAGGGATGTGGTTGCCAAAAGAGGTTACAGTATTTATATACGTATATATAAACATATATATATATATAAAGATTGGTCTGTGAAACAGTTACATATTGTTGTTAAATTTCAGTATTTAATACCATCCCTTCAAGACGCGTACGACTTAAATCAGAGCTGCAGGTTCATAAATCAGAGTTTTAGAGAAGGTTGGTTTGTATATAGTTCGTGGCACTTTAAAACATATTAATTCATTATTTTTCAGGCAGTCGAGATCAACCCAGACATGATCTTAGAACTCCTGGAAAGGATTTTGAAGAAAATGGTAAGAATGTTTGCCAGAATGTTATTAAATGAATTCGGTTTCTAACAAAATGGCAATAAGTTGAATAAATTGTAGATCTAAATCTGTCAGAAACATCCATACGAGTATTAGCTAACTAGAAATGAAATTTCAATTTATTTAATTTCAGTTATGATTTTATAGATGTAAGTTTTTTTATTTTATTTTCTAAGCAAAATTTTTTTAAAAGTAAAATTTCAAAATATAAAAAATAATATTACAAAATATTTTATATTAATTTAATTATCAAAACATTATCATTTTCTTTCCATTTTAACTTTTAAACTGTCTTTATAAATAGTCTTTCCCCAAAAATTTGAATCTTTATTTACGCTACGCAACGTTACCATGTCATAAACCGCTCATTCAGTTTCATTCTTGGTCACTTTCAAAACTCTACTAATCAACAATATACAGAAACGCAAATTTATATTCTGGCGCGTTGGGAAATAGCCACTTCTCAGAATGTTGCCGTTAGGAGCTTCGAAAGAGGTTTAATGTATTTTTTGCATTACAACTTCTTAAAAAACACAGGCATTTGAAACTGATGAATGTATTTTTTGATTATTTAAATCTGCGTTTCGTTTTTTAATTATGTATCCAATTTACATAACTGAAAATATATTCAAATTTTAATTTTAAGGAGCATAAGGAGCAAAGTTACAAATAAATGTTCTTAATGGCGTCTATTTCATAACTCCTTACAGAATCGTCTATTTTTTTACTTTTCTATAGTTTTTGGATTCTTGCTCATGCTATGTTACGCTAGCATACATTGATTATTTATGTGGTTTCTCTAGTGTTTCCTTCTCTTTGAGAATATCTTTAATTCCTTTTCCTGATGTCGCGATAACGAGCCAAGTTTCATAGTATCGCTACTGTACCTAAAACTTTTACTACTAGTTTTTTTCTTTGAAATTATAGCGCACTATGGGATAAGATTTAAAAACAGCTCAAGCCCTTCTTGATAATTTGCATCATTACATTACATTTTCTTAGTAATTTACATCCTCATTTAATTTTTATAGTGACGCTAATACATTTAATTTTCCTTATGTGTAACTGAGGAATTTGAGGAGAGAACATTGCAATATACATTTCGAAGCCCAGTTATCCAAAGTAAAAAAGCTGTGATTCAAAATTAAAATAAATTACGAATATTCAATTTTGATTATTTTTCTCAATATTACATGCTTATTGAATATTGATAAATGGTTCAAATCCTACCGAAAGGCCTAGTTGCGTGAGAGCTTTCCTATCTGTAACTCTCACTCATAGTCATAAATTACATTCCTATACATACTCATACACATAACAACACTCATGCTGAGCCAGTTCGCCTTAAAAAGTCCTCCACTAAAACACCCCTTCCTATAGGTAAAGTGTGTTTTGCTATAGTTTAACAGATTATAATCCGCAATAGTGGTTAACACGTTTCTTGTTTTACAGGATAAAGATGGCGACGGCATTCTCGTCTACGAAGAATATAAATCTGCTGCCTTGGAAGACTGGGTGTTGATCGAAGCTTTTGGACAATGCCTGCCAGATTATAACGTAAACAAATATTCATTTAGTTCAACGTTTCTTCCGAAAATAATCGCTAGAGCTTTCGTTAGAAACAATTATAAAATCTTAAATACATGCATATGTATAATTTAGGCATTTTCCGTGTTCCTAAATTTTACTAACTTACCTTCATAATTAATTTAGAAGTAAAACAACAAAAATCAGCGTTATATTTTCAAATTTTCACAGGACTAGTTTCGATGGTTTTACGGAACCATCATCCTCAGCTGCAAAAGCGCAAATGAAAGAGATAAGATATAATGATTAGATAAGATAACTAAGATCTGGACAGGAGATACGCTACTGGCGCCATCTGTTGATGAAACCAGAACTAAAACATAATTTCTTTAAAGGCCGAAGGCAAACATGGATTGGAATTAGGGTCGTGAACTAGAACAGAAAGATTTTTTTTTGAATGTGAAATGCCTCTAGAAAATCCAGTACCAATGGAAGATGTTTTTTGAATAATTTAGGGAGCAGAAAAATTGAAAGTGTGATTTTTGGACCAACAATGTTGGGCAACAGAAGATTTCTGTGTTTCCTTTTTTTCTAACATATATTTCATGTTCCTTAACGCGAAATTTTAAGGCTCTTTTAGTTTGTCCAATGTAAATTAAATTTGAAAATATAACGCTGATTTTTGCCGTTTGACTTCTAAATTAATATTTGTTCGGCGTGTTATTGTATCTTAATTACTTCCTAATTAAATTTTACAAATCCAGGTAATTTTACTTTTGCCATTGAAAAGTCTTTACTAGGGTCTTTCCAAAACGTTTCAAAAAAAAAGCGTTATATTACAATACGCTGGCATATAAATATCACCCATTTGATTTGGCAAATGCGACTACACGAAACATTTTTTGCTCCACATCGATGCCCTGGAACCTAGACATCATGGGCTGCTAGGAGTAGTGATCATCATTTGTGACTCTTGCCTAGCTTTCAATCCTGAAATCCGAAAAACTAAAAGATTTTTCCAAACAAAAACCGCGAAAAATTGGAGGGTTGTAGGGTTTATATTTATTTTAACTAACATTTATTTTAAGTTTAAACTATCTTTCCTGTCAAGCCTTACTTTCCCCTGGAACTGCCAATGCCAGAGTATGTAAATTTTAGTAGAACGCGCAAGGATTCAAATTATCAGCGGAAGTATTCTGAGTTAAATAGAATGGAAAACGAGTTCGAGGTGTGCTGTTCTTACTTCACGAGCGCGGAGGTGGTAGTTAGTCAGAAATTGAAAGAAACCCCGCGTTTCGGCCTGTGTGCTTGCCTCGGAGAATTGTTAATCGTTTCAACGTGATATTCAAAGTTTGCTGAATTAGCAGCGGTATTGTAAAACGCGGTGAGGCTAGTTACGTTTAGAGAGCCTCGTAGTTAGAGTCTTGTTATTATTTCTTTTCAGGTTCTTATTTTTATTTTACCGCCGGGTCGGCGTAGTTTGTGAGCGTCAAGAGCACGCAATTGTAATTTCTTAAGTTGAATAAAAAGGGACTTAAACCCTTAGCAAGACTCTGTCTAAATTCCAGTTTCAACAGTCACCTCTTGGTTGCGTGCAGGTTGGAGGCGCGCAACTCTACATTGGTGCCCGAACACTTGTCGAACTGAAATGGCCGAAAATCGGATGGAAGCCGCGGGACAACACCAAGAAATAGCAAGCTAATTGGAAGGATTTGGATATCTGGTCCAGACTTTGAGAGCGTCAATCAAGCCAAACGTCAATTTCGACGGAAAAAATTCGGTGGCGATATTTCTAGAAGATTCCTAGAAAATCACTTTCAGCTCTACCCTGTGCCTGAAAGACAAAAAGTTGCCATCGCCACATCTGCACTAAGAGGACAGGCCGCGCTATGGTGGAAGAATATAGGCAAATTTTTATTAGGGGAATTTGGAAGCCAGACATATACATTTGAAAATTTCAAAAAATCGTTAGTAAAGGCCTTCCCCATAGTGAAAGATCGAGCAAGGCTAGAAGCCGAACTATATAGTTTCTATCAACGGGATATAGAAGAGTTGACGGACTTTATTCTGCGAAAAATTAAGCTGACGGATATGCTGTATGGGAAGAAACCCGACGCGGAGATTATTGAAATAATCTTACCAAGATTGTTACCTGCTGTTCAAGACTACTTCGAAATTAGAAACCCAAGCACATTGCAGGAGCTCTTCGAATTGGCGGTGAAATTTCAAAATCGCAGAATAGCGGAAAAAGCTAGAGGGGCATCGTATTCTCAAGGGATCCGAAGGCAATCTTCAAATGAGCAGACCAGAAATACAAACCGCTCGTATGGGGGAAAGAGCTATCAAGCTAACTCATCGAACCTCGAAGGTCAAGGCCCAAAAAGGAAATTCGAAAACAAACATCCGCGTACCCAGAAGGCAGAAGTTGAAAGGAAAGCTTTAAACGAGTAGAGGGGCCTGTGAAAGCGAGGGTCCAGACCCCGGAAGTTTTAAAAAAAACCTCAAAAAGACATTTAAATACGGTCATCGTAAAAAACTCACATCTACCAATTATACAAGTTCTGGTTGGCGATGTACCAATAGAAGCCCTCATCGATACAGAAGGTAATTTTATGAGCGAAACATTCTTCAAAAAGAATTTTTATAGGTTACGATTATTTAAAAACAAAAAGATAGAAATTATAGCGGCGCAAGGAAAAACCTGTCACTGCATCGGGAAATTATCATTAAACATACAGGTAAAAGAGGAAAGCCTCAAGGTATTAATTTTTGTAGTGAAGAATCTGCAAAATCCTCTTATGTTAGGTATGGAGTTTTTAAGGGCCGCGAGGGCCAAACTGAATTTTCAAGACAGTTCTGTTGTGCTGGAGATGGACCGGAGGGTGGTGAACCTGTGGAACAACAGCAAGTTGACCTTAGCCATTTGAATGACCATGAAAGTCAAGCCATCCAGCAAGTGGTGAGTAATTTTTCAAACTTGTTTTCATAAAAGCCTGGTAGCTGTCAAATAGTTACGCATCAGATACAGTTAACTGCCGAAAAACCTTGTAGGACTAAACCGTATCGTTATGATAAGCAAAAAGACCTAATCATCGAAGAACATATTCAGGAGATGTTAAAGAATAAAATAATAACGCCCATAAATAGTGAGTACGCGAGTCCAGTCGTACTATGTAGGAAAAAGAACGAGTTTCCTCCTTCGGATAAAAGGGCTTGGAGGTTTGCTATCGATTACAGAAAACTGAATAGTATTACTAAATTCCCAGTTTACCCTTTGCCGGTTATAGAGGAAATTATTAGAAAGATCAAATCTACTAGATATATGACTACTTTGGACTTAACGTCTGGCTACTATCAAATAGCTATGAAACCCGAAGACATACATAAAACCGCGTTTATAACAAAATCGGGCACTTATGCATTTTTACGCATGCCCTTTGGGTTGTGTGGGGCCCCATCAACATTCCAGAGAGCTATGGACATTGTTCTAAAGCCTGTCCTAGGAAATCGACTTTAATCTATCTAGATGATATAATTATAACGAGTAGTACGTTGGAACAACATATTAAAGATCTAGAAGAAGTTTTTAAATTATTAAAAAGAGGCCGGTCTTACAATTAACGACTCAAAATGCACGTTCGCAACTAAAGAACTTAAATATCTCGGTTATAAAATTTCGCAAAAGGGTATAGAAACGCAAGATTCAAAAATAAAAGCAATCAAGAATTTCCCACCTCCCAACACCGCCAAGAAACTTTCTTCTTTCCTTCGCTAATATTGTTGAACCACTGTTAGTAATTAAAAGAAAGAGAAGTAAATTTACGTGGACAGCGGAAGCAAATACCGCATTTGAAAGATTAAAAGAAGCGCTCATCAATGCCCCTGTTTTAAAATTCCCGGAGGGGGACGAAAACCTGGAAATTGCGGCAGATGCGTCGGACTATGCGGTGGGTGCGGTTCTTATGCAAAATAGCCATCCTCTGGCATTTTTTAGTAAAACATTGAATCAGACACAAAGGAATTATACAGCTACAGAGAGAGAAACATTAGCCGTATTAATGGCTGTACACAAATTTCGAGTTTATTTCGGCAAAGCGCCAGTAACAGTCTTTTCGGATCATGCGGCTGTTGGTAGACTTTACTCGGGGAAAAACCTAACGCCCAGGTTAATAAGATGGGCTTTAAAACTCCAAGAATATAATCTAATAATAAAATATAAACCGGGTGAGGAAAACAATGTAGCTGACGCACTTTCTCGTATAAAACTGGACGATGAAGGAAATGAACTTAAATGCGCTGTGTTGACTTCAAAAATTTTAGATTCTAGAGAAACAATTATTGCTGAATTGAAAGCTGATCCTGAATTTGGAAGTATCTATGCATATTTGAAAGACCCCGAAAGCTTTGAGCACACAGATATCGATGTGATAAGAAATAGAGCAGAAAACTATGAAATAATAGGTAATTTATTATTTTATACGAAAACAACAAACGAAAATCTCGAGTACAAACCAGTCATCCCAGCCTCGCTTCGATTAAGCATTTTGAAGGAATTACACAACGCGAAAACAGCGGGTCATTTAGGGGTCAGAAAGACTTTAAAAAGGGTACGCGAGGCGGTATATTTCCCGCAATTATTCAAAATAGTAACTGCGTGTGTCAGGTCCTGCAATCAATGTCAGTTAATAAATGATATTAATTACAGCCCGGCCGGGTACTTAAATAGCATCATGCGTTACATTTCCGAATGAAATTTTAGGCATAGATCTTCTCCTTGGTCCCTTCCCCCAGAGCGAGTTAAATAAAAATCGTTTTCTTTTAGTAATTGTAGATCACTTTTTCAAAATGGACAGAAATTGTTCCACTTAAACGCGCGTCAGCCAAAACAGTTTAACATTTGGCAGATGCATTCTTACACAGATACATTTTAAAATACGGTGCACCGATAAAAGTCATTAGCGATAACGGAAAACAATTCATTAGTCAAATATTTGAAAACATATGCACTGGACTTGGCATACGCCATATCAAAATGGTTCCGTATAGACCACAGGCAAACATAGCAGAAAGGGTGAATAAAAACATTGTAAAAATAATTCGCAGTTACGTTAGCACACATCACAAGCGCTGGGATGGCTACATAAATGAATTAGCTTATGCTTTAAGAATGGCAAATCACGATACTACGGGAAAAACCCCAGCAGAATTATTTTTAGGCCGAAAGTTAATTACGCCTTTAGATAAATTATTCTTTGTGCAACAAAGAGAGCAAGAGTTTAAACAGAAAGGTGTGCAAAAACTTATTGATCAGGCGCTTAAAAAGCTCGGATACGGCAAGAAATAAGCAAAAATATATTACGATAGAAAACGCCGTGAAGCAGATTTTAAAGTTGGGATAAGTATTGAAGTAAAGTTGAAGCGGAAATTTTCAAGTGCCCCAGACAATTTTACTGCAAAGTTAGCTCCAAAATTTGAAGGCCCCTATGTAATTCAGGAAATCAAAGGAGTCGTATTGTACCTTAAGAACGAGAGAGGGGAAATCTGTAAAGCAAGTCCCGACCAGGTGAAAAAATACTATAATCCAAATGATTTTGAAATCCTTAAAAGTTTCTTGCAGGACTCAAGCGTAAAAGAAGTAGAAGGTCCCGAAATAACGTCACCCGTTCCACCACCCAAGAAGCAGAGAACTGAATAGAGACCTAGCCTTTCTACAACCCAGGCGACGGTACCGAAAAGAAAAACGAAAATTTTCAGACTCCAGCATTTAAGAAAAACAAGAATGCAAAGCCACCGCGTAAAGAAACCTTGGTAAAGAGGAAAACACCACCTACAACGTATTGCAGTAGAAATTATACATCAAGGAGAACACTCCCAGGGCCAGAGAGTCAGGTGCAAACAAGGCCGCCGTTCCGGAAGCTAAAAAGACAGCAGGAGGAACGAAAAGACCAGCAGCAACAGAAGAAATTCAAGGACTCCAGACCGGAGGACGTCAAGACCAGCCGTCCAAGAGAAAAACGAAAAAGACAACAACCCGACGATTGCTACGCCAAGAGGCCAGCATGCAGAGGACGCAAAAGAAAAACTAATGTGGACGACACTCGGAGGTCAGTAAGGAGAAGATTGACGTTAATGAAACCTATAACGTGGGAACAGTTTTGCCAGAAAAGAATGACGGAGTTTCAATCATCGAAAACTCAAAGATAAGTTAAAAAATCTTCTATAATTTTTTTTTCTTTTATTCCGAAATGTTATGCGTAAATACGAAGTTCTGTGTTTTGACGAAAGTCAATATGTCTCGGTTGAGACATAGTTTTGTTTTACTTTATTTAGCTAAGGCAAAAGTATTATTTTCTTCAAGTACAAAATCTAAGAACAAGCATTTTCTGTTGGTCGAAAGACTAATTCTGTTATGTTAAAGCCAAAATTTGGCCGAAGATAAAAATAACTTCGTATTCTTGTATTAATAAGAATTTTAGTTTCAGTGCCGCCAGCTTGGCGAAGAATGAGTAAAGTAAAAATTTATTTTCTCTTATTCATTTTATGGTAAATTGTAAAAATCATATGCATTAAAATTTTGTAAATATACGTAAATACTTGAAAGTTATGTAAAAGTAGAATTTAGTCTAGAAGCATAAAATTTTAGATGCTAAAAGTAAATGCTCAAAAGCAATGAATTCAAAATTTAATTATTAAACTGTAGAGAAAATCATGCTTTAGAGCGAAAGCCTGCATGTCTAAAGATGAATGAGGGGGAAGTTAGAATGAATGTGTTTTGTAGGGTTCTCCACCTACACTTGAATTTTTAAGAATGTTAAAGTAGCTCATCGAGTTGTAGAATGTCGAGTACGGTGTGTCTATTTGGTCGTTGAATTCTAACAAATCATGGTGGTTAGGGGAAGTATTGTAAGACTAAAACACGAATATTCCCGTTTGACACCACACATGGTGGAGAGCCAGGGTAAAGTTAAATTAATGTTTGAATAATTGAATGAATGTGAATTAAGCAGTAACTAAGGAAAACGAATCGTTTAAAAACAAAAATTTATTCAGTGTCAAGAAAGTGTAAATTATAATGTATTTAGAAAGATACTGATACTTATTCCTTCCAGATGCTGGAAGGAAAAGAACAAGATTGATTGCTGAAGTCCAGGAAAAGTTGCTGTAAGAAGAGAGATTTATATAAGTATCTAAAGAAATTTAGTATACCTTTTGTTACATAAGTTTTTTTGTATAAACGAGGCTCTTAAGAGTTAGTTCAGAATTATAGAAACTTTACAACAGGTCGTTTGTAGGACCTGCTTCCAAGTTTTCCAAATTCTGGCAGCGGCAAATGTAGGGTTTATATTTATTTTAACTAACATTTATTTTAAGTTTAAACTATCTTTCCTATGAAGCCTTACTTTCCCCTGGAACTGCCAATGCCAGAGTATGTAAATTTTAGTAGAACGCGCAAGGATTCAAATTATCAGCGGAAGTATTCTAAGTTAAATAGAATGGAAACGAGTTCGAGGTGTGATGTTCTTACTTCACGAGCGCGGAGGTAGTTAGTCAGAAATTGAAGAACCCCGCGTTTCGGCCTGTGTGCTTGCCTCGGAGAATTGTTAATCGTTCTACGTGATATTCAAAGTTTGCTGAATTAGCAGCGGTATTGTAAAACGCGGTGAGGTTAGTTACGTTTAGAGAGCCTCGTAGTTAGTCTTGTTATTATTTCTTTTCAGGTTCTTATTTTTATTTTACCGCCGGGTCGGCGTAGTTTGTGAGCGTCAAGAGCACGCAATTGTAATTTCTTAAGTTGAATAAAAAGGGACTTAAACCCTTAGCAAGACTCTGTCTAAATTCCAGTTTCAACAGTCACCTCTTGGTTGCGTGCAGGTTGGAGGCGCGCAACTCTACAGGGTTTTGAAGTTGCGCGGCGACCCATGTTAAAGGAATTCTAAACCGTTCTTAAATTCACTTTATAATGCGGGATTCAGGTTACTAAACTATTTGTGATATAATTCTAATATTAAATAATATTAGCATTTAATTAGATGTCTTAAGGCTAAGTTCTTATTTTAATTTTCTTACACTTTCATATTCAGAAAATCCCGAATAGGGAAAACTTTTATTTTTCAAAGTAGTTTTAAATATGATGGAAGTAGAATTAATAATTACTGTAGATAGTACATAGTACTTGTGTCGACAAACTTAGTAATGGGCTTTATACTGAAGTAAAGTAAAATTAAATGTTGTAAGTATTAAATGATTAATTATTGCTTAAATCATCAGATAAAATTTACAAATGTGTACAGCAGATTAAGGCAATTGAGCTCACATGGAATTCAATGAGAAAAATGTTAGTAAAATGCAATAGTAAACAAAAGTACATTTCAGATTAAAGAAAATGAAGTAAGAAAAATTCTGAAACTCACTAGAATGAGAAATGGAATTTTCCCAATTTAAGTTTCGTTCATTCAGTATATTTTGTTTATTGTTCAAACACACTTCATTTAAAAAGGTTAATTTGAAAAGCGTGATATTCCTTGATCTAGCGAGAAACTGCAAATGTGATAAAAAAGTCCCGAAAAGTTGGCAGCTGGTGCTATTCGTCCCGACAGACAGTAATGTATTTCAATTTAATATTATTTATAAAGTGAAGAATGTATTCTGATGCATCGCCCCAGACTGATGACCAATCATTTAACTCCGAGTGATCATCTGACGTCTGCTGATATAGCTGTGGATCACCGTGATGGCTTGACTGACTGGTATTGTTCGGTTTAATTTTATTTTCAGAATCTCTCCAAATTTGCTGCATTATCTCATACCGGTAACCTATACACGGACTGAAATAATGACTATCAACTCTTAGTTAAACTGTTAAGAACGGCTTTTTCACTCACACTTGTGTAATTCGGTTTAATTTGAGTTGGATAACCTTTCAAAATATTTTGCGCCATCCCATGCTAATGGCATATACGGTTTGATCTTCTTGTCTCTAGATACCAGCGACTTGTGGACTGACACTCACAGATAAAAGACTCTGTGTTTGGACAGTCACAATACCTTTCAATTTAATTCCATCTCAGAAGTGCAATTTAAAGGTATCACTTCAATTCGATGATTCTGAATTGATCACAAGTGACTCTCAAACCTTAGGTCTTTCTTGGCTATCTGTTTTTTTCCCCACGGTTTAATTATATTTTAATAATCTATAAATAGTTATTGCGTAGACCACCTGGTGAGAAACGGATCTGATGTTAGCAGCGGCTTAATTTAAGTATAATTTACTTCTTTGATTGTAATTCGCATTCCACTTAATTTATTGTATATTTCAGCTCAAAATGTTTATAAATGTTACCTGCATTATTGTAATTAATTATTCACTATGAATATCTCACACAATAGTTTTTGCTTTCATTTATGTTTTGATTATACTTTTGTGTTTTTCATTTCAGCTTCACTATTCATTTATAGAACGAATGGAAAAACCTTTCGCTGGGAAAAGGAAGACGAAGTAATGTCTGGAAAGTACGCTGTACATATTAACGCAGTTTCTTTCAAAAACATTACTCTTATAAAAGCAGAGTACCTTGTGTTTGATCCTCGTTAGTATTTAATGGACTGTGTTCTGTAGACGTGCCTTCACACACCTTCAGTATAACTTAAAGGAATCACAGACTCTGGCAAACTTATTTTGTATCATTTACTCTGACAAACTTTGACAGACCAACTTCATTTGCTTTCTTTCTACGCACATCAACTATGCTGAAGAATGGCGACATACCATACACGACGAAAAATCCAATTCCAGCTTACTTACACAAGACCACACTTCAAAGAAACCTATAAGCCGTTGGAACTCCAGGTCGCTACCAAGTGAAGCTCCAAGCGCACGTTTAAAAATCTAACTTGTATTTGTGTCTCTCCTCAGCTCAGTTACTACAAATTCAGTTTGCATAAGTGACATCAAACTTATCCCCAGCCTTGAAATTCCAAAGCTGAGGATAACTGTAAACAATTAAAGTTAAATAAGTAGACCTGAAAATAAGATATTAAGTTCTCTAATATCATGAATTAAATGGCAAAGAGCATAGCCTCGCTATAAGTCGCTCCATCTCATCATAGGGAGTTCCTAAAACCGTTACTCAAACTCTGTGATCCAGGCCGGAATACACTTTAATAATTCTTCTCAATTTTCAGGGCAGTGGAGCTAGATTATCGTTCTTTTAATCAAGACCATTTCACCAACTTTGAGATATTTCTCCAACCTGCACCACTTAGGTCTCTGCTACAACCTAGAAAAATACTCACTACTTCATCACTCCCAAAAGTGTTGAAACAGCATTTGCAAATTCCTCCATAGATCACTGTGTAGCTCAACTTCTGAATTAAGTTAGGTTCTGGAAGAGCATGTAAAGCCTTCTTGTTAGAAAGTGTCCTGGTTATTTTTGGTCAAAGAAAGAATTTGGTGCCAATTAACGTTTTCTTTCTTTGACCAAAATTTGGTGCCAATTTTTGGCCAAAGAAAGAAAGCGTTAATTAAATCGCACTTTTTAACGCAATTGAGTTGTATATTAATTGACTAAATCTGCATGTATATGCAAATAAGGCAGAGAATTTTACTAAAATGCAAACAGGAAACCAAAAATGTTTGAAAATTCTGGTCTTATGTTTGGAAAACATCTAGGGGTTTTCTTTTTAAAATTCAATGTCTGCTTTAGAACACTGCTTCTCAACTTTTTTTTTTTCTGCGGACTGGTAAAATTTACGAAAATATGTTGCAGACTGATGTTCGCCCCCCAAAAAAAATCTTCACAAGGTATTAAAGAATTACTACATAAGTTAATTGTTACATTCTTATTATCATTTACCTACAATAATATTTAAGTGTAAAGACAAGTAAATATTGTAATTATTATACATAAGTATAACTACCATTTATAAATTAATAAACCTCTGAGAAAAATCGCATAAAATTATACAAAAAATATCACAAAATCATTGCATATAAAAAACAACCGACCAGTGACGGTTCACTAGACAAGCGACTGAAAATCCTAGATATACCTACTGAAGCGCCACCTGTCAACCTCTTCACGTCGCTTTTCTTTTGCCGAAGTGGCAGCAGCTGAAATAATCGAAATTCACAATAACAATTGAATTCTGTCAAAAAACTTCGTTGCCATTTGCTTAGCTTCTGTATTCTTGTTAATAAAGTTATTTAAAGAAGTTCGTTCTATTTATTACACTAAAAATACAGTAGCTATTATTCAACGAACTTCAAAGAATAATTAGCGTTTCTCCACTGAAAACTAATATGTATCGTTTAATATGAGTACTCTTTACCCGCAAATACACGTTCGTGGCACCACCATGGGTTTCCTAATACCCATACAGACAACAACAGAGACGCTGAGAAAGCTTGAGTTAATGTTTTGCGCAGTAAGCTTGATAACATACACAGTTGCCAGATTTTAAATATTTTGAATTGTAAACGACGATAGTATATTGTTATAATATTTCTAAATTTGGAAGGACCCACGAACAGTATCTGCGGACCAACACTGCTTTCAAATATGTAAATGCTATTTAGTCAAGAGCCGAAATTAATAGTTAAGACTCTAAAACTTTTTTTTTTTTTTTTTTTTTTTTTTGCTACTAAGCGTATAGATTATTTTCTTCAGGGAACGGAACTTACATCTGTTTTCTGCTAGCAAAACAGCCATTCAACGCGCAAGTAATCAAGAACTCCGGGAATGATGCTTGGTCTCTTAACAACACACTCGTTCTTACAGTGAGAGCCGACCCTCTTCCACTAAAAAAGTGGTAGGATAGTAAGAGCTGTTTTCCTCCTTTGCTGTACCCTTGGGTAGAGTACAACATGTTTACGGTAAAAAGATTCCTTTGTAATTCCCTATAAAAATTTCTTTTGTAGTAGTTCCTTTTAAAAAGATTTCATTTAGGAAATCTTTTTTCATGAATCGGCAGAATCAGTTTTCTACATTGAAATACAAATTAAAAAAAAAAAAAAATTCTGTTTGAAACCTTTTATTCACTGAAATAAAAATTAGTATAAAATATATATAATTTTTATCCTTTTAAACTATTTTTCCTAAGGGTAAGCTATCGAAGATTTTATTTTATTAGTTTTTATTTTTTATAAAAAATTTACTAGGACAAACAGACGCCTCAAAACTTACTTCTCAAAAGCTTCCAAGGTCAAATGTCAACACATAGTTAAATCTTACTCAGGAATATTAATACAACTTCGCTATCGATTTCTAGGAGGATTGTGCATAAATAAAACTGACAAATTCCAAGCAATAAAAACACGATCTGAAGAAATAAAAGACATGGCCCAGTATTTTTGTTCTAATTTCAATATAAACTAGCTTTCCTTAGATCGCCCTCATTGAAGCCACACTTCATAATGAAATTATCCTCAGCAGTGTAGTAGCAGTATTGATAAATCAACAAATAGAACAATCTTTAACATATATATTGTTAAAGATTAGTAACATTTGTTGATTAGTACTCTGGATTAGTAAAGATTAGTAACAACTCTGGAAGTAATCAAAACAACTATTGATTACTTCCAGAGGTCGACGCTACGAGATAATTCATTATGTGTTAAGAAAGAACAAGAACTAGCTCAAATGTTTCGAACAAACAAACAAAAACAAAATTAAATTCATACTAAAGGAAATAAAAATTACCTACATGGGAAACTTATACATAATGTACCTACCCTAATCATTTGCGGTTCTAAATGATTTATCCCTCTATGAAGCTAGTTCACTTAGGAAGATGAGGTTTAACATCAAATTTGAAAAATAAAAAATAATGGTTCTGTGAAAGCAAATACCAAGAACAGGAAAAGAACTCTTTTCGTTTACAAGTATTACATTCCTGGTGAGAAATTCTCTGGGTGTAGATCTAACACAATTAAGAAAAATTGTAATTTAAAAACAAATTTCCTTATTAATGTTTAAAATAATAAAATACCTTATTAATATTTAAAATAAAAAATCAGAATCTGCGCAGCAACAACATCATGCTCGGGGCCAGAGAGGAGGGATTTTTTAAAAACTGGAATGTTTCAGTTTCTTTAAGAGAATTATGACGCTGACACTGACACTGATCAACATCACTTCTGGTGTCAAATACTTAGAGTTCTAACCAGTTCATTCATATGTGCCAAAAGGCCGTTCACGGTAAGAGAATTATTTGAAGAGCTATCAAAAGAATTTAAGAATTTCCTAGAATCACCAGAGAATCGCGAAAGTTCTACCTTCGATAATTTTAAAGCCTTAACTGTATTTACCGCGTAATGCTAGATGCATTACAAACAGGAAGAGTGCGCTGAACATTTTCTGGTTTTAACGCTTTAATTTTGCTTTTTATTCGTTTATGGCAAAGCACTTGACGGCTGTCTGACTAAAAGAAGGAGTGCCTTCGTGGAGAAATTTCTAAGGACACTGGCCCGTATACATGTTACACATAGGGAAAATCAAAAGTGCAGGCAGCCAGCTCCGTTCATCGGGTTTCGAACCCTGTACCGAACTGCTAGTGTTCAGCGACTTCAGCGCTCGGTCACTGGCGGGACTAATTTTGCTTTTTGGTTTAGCTTAACAGGCAATATTTTGTCAATACATATATTGTCATTTTTATTCACTTTGAAATTCTCATGGATCGTTTATGCGTGCTTCTACCTCTAAATCATACCTTTCAAAACCTTTTCTTTCGGTCTTTTCGTTCGTAAAAAAGCTCCGTTAACTTATAATGAATTTAATTCTTCGGCAGCTTCACCGAGCTTTGCAACTAGTTCAGTAACACTGGAACGAACGCTGAATCTCTTTTCAAATATTTTCAAAAGCCTATCCAAATTAAATCAGAATTTGTAATTTCAAAAAGACATTAGCTCCACAGTCCGGAATACCCAAAATTTGTAAAGTATTCAGTGGCCAAGTAAAATACCTAAACTTTCAGAATTAGAATCCAATAACGCCCAGTTGCTTCGGATATTCTAACTCACGACGTTGATGCACCGGTTTTGCATTTTATAGTTCAATGTGGCTAATGGCGCATAAAAGAGCCTTCCGAAATCAACAATAAAATTTATTTACTTTAAAATATAACAAAATTCGAAACGTTGAGGCAATGTTATTAGGCATCTCTGGCCTCCGCGCCTTACTTTTTTAACATCCATCCTGCCACTTGGTATACTGGAACGCACACCTCATCCTCTAGTAGAATGGCGCGGGAATTATATAACACATATCAACAGTAATTGGGTATCATCTTTTTTAATTTAGTACTTAAAGTTTTGTCCATATGCATGTATTCCTGTAAAAAATTGTTCACTGAGCATTGTGATTTTGTGTTCATAAATCAGTGCCTATTATTTCCTGCAATTTAATAACAAAATATATGCGCATGTGCATGTTATAAATACTGTAATATTTTCATTTGCCAACACTAATCTTTGCAGTTTTCATATGTTGGAATCACAGTGTAATTTAATGATCTGACCTCGCAAATGTGGAATTAATAGAATGTCAAAGCAAGGGCATCCACTTATACAATACGAAGCAATGTGCCACTCAAAGCTTTCAAATGATACTACTCAGTTAAAATAGGACTTGCTGTTCACCCATCTCAGTATCACCAATGACAATCCCCAAAGGACGAAGCAGGTGTGTGCAATTTACATGAAAAAATGTTAGGAAGGCAATGTTTGAGGTATTCTTTGAAGTAAAGAATGCGAATAACAAATGTTTCTTTGTCGCGAGGGCGATAAAGAAATAAAGCATTACAAAATAAAAGTGGTTCTGTGAATGTAAATATCAGGAACTTGAAAAGCACTCTTTTCTTTTACAAGTATTGCATTCCTAGGGAGAAATTCTTTGGCTTTAAGTCTGACACAGCAAAAAGATTGTAATTTTCAAAACATTTCCTTATTTATGTTTAAAATAGTAAATTTAAGTTCATCAGAATCCTTAAAGAAATAATAATTTAGAACATCCTAAAGACCTAACTAAAATTTAGCATTAATTTCAATCATGTATTTATACATTTACGAAATGACAATCGTTCAGAAATGCGATTAAATGAATGACGCTTATTGCAAAATGCGATTTAATTGAAGCCCATTACGAAATGCGATTAAGTAACAAGCGTCACTTGTTTACAAAATGGGTTCTAATGAAAATTGCACTTTTTATATGGGGTTAAAAGATAAATATATTCATCAAAATGCATTTATGGGATTCTACGCATACTTTCTCGTATTTTTGCATAAAATAGTAAAAAAAATAAAAAAATACTTTCTTAAATAATAACATTTAGTAAAAATTGACACAAAACAAAAACGAAAAAATAGCATTTATTCAAAATAAAGTATTCTTGTTGAAGAAACGCCTGTAGATGATTTCTTGTAAATGTATAGATATGGTGTTATTTAAAAATTTAGATCTCTGTGTTTGTCCTAAATGGAACGTTCGAAGGATATACTTAATAGAATGAAGTATTCCACGAACGAAAATTCATGTTTAAGTATTCTTATCTGTTATTGTTATTAATTTCATTCTCAATTAAACAAAAGTTTGCCGTAATTTATTACTTCGTTCCGCGAATATTATATTTTACTTTTACGGAGAATACATTTTTATGCATGAAAAGTTTGCATTTCAGTTCCTGCTCTGCAAATTATTTTAAAACTACAAAATTTATCCACTGATATTCCAATGTTTTCTTATAGCAGTAAGTTTTGTTGTAGTGAGTGCCTTTCCCTCCATATTTTTCACTGCTTTGTCTTTTCATTTCCCTAAAATATAGGTAAGTAATTTTTTACAAAGCAACGCAAGAAAAAGGAAAGGAAACAACTATATTTCTCCCTACACGCACATACTTATTACATATCAAAGTGCCTATTGTACCATACAAATTACTCATGATTTCATTAACGAAAAATTTAAGTACCCCATTCAGATTATGCTAAAGTTAGCTATGCATTTTAAATTTGCGAGAGGAATGTTCTATAAAATAAATTTTGCTTTCAAAAATATTTACTGAGAATCCCACTATTGCTAGAAGTACTAAAATTTCAAAATTTTATTTAATTAAAAAGGAAGTAATTTTCATGTAATTCCCCACATTACTTCTTTCGGATCAAATCTGTTTAATCTAAGGTATTTTAAAAATTATTTCTAACCTAAGGTATTTAAAAA